AGCAAGTGGATGTGGTGTATACTGACTTTTCAAAGGCGTTTGACAGGATTGATCATTCTATCTTATTAATTAAGCTACGCAACTTTGGATTTTCTGATAGCTTAGTGAAGCTGATTAAATCGTATTTAACGGGAAGAATGCAATGTGTTAAGTACCTTAGTCATGTTTCTGACAAAGTTCCTGTCTTATCTGGCGTTTCACGAGGTTCTGTTTCAGGACCATTGTTTTTTGCCATCTTCATTAATGATGTAGGAAAAAGAATCGGTTCTGAAGTATTATTGCTTGCTAATGATCTAAAAATGTTTAGGCGCGTATCTTCCAATTATGACTGCTATTTACTTCAAAAAGATATCAATGAATTATATAACTGGAGCGCTTGTAATAACCCTCCCATTAATTTGGATAAATGTCATGTAATGACCTTTTTAAACAAAAACGTTATAACCAATAACTATACCATCAGCAGTACAGTCTTAAAACGCGTTCATTACTTCAAAGATTTGGGCATTATGTTTGATCCCAAACTTACATTTTCGTTGAACTATGATGCTGTTGTTAATGAATCTCTCAAGAACTTAGGATTCATCATTAGATCTTGCAAAGATTTTAAAGACATAAGTACATTTATATCTCTATTTTTTGCTTTTGTAAGATCAAAGCTAGAGTATGGTAGTGTTGTATGGGCTCCGTCGGCGAATGTTCACATTGATATCTTTGAAAAAATTCATAGGCGTTTTTTGAAATTTCTGGTTTTCAGACTGGATGGAGTTTATCCTCCTAGGGGTTACCCCCAAAACTTACTGCTTGGTGCAGATTTACTACTACTAATTAACTCGAGTTTTTGATCTTTTCTAAAGTAATAAACTGATTTGACGATTTTAATTTATAATTATATGGGAGGAAACCAATTTTAGTAGTTTTAAACAGGCAATGACAAACGTGATGACAATATATATCGTCATGTATTTCACTTCACGTCGAATTTTCTTTTCAACTCTTTCACCGGCACTATCCAGTTCCCACAAATACAGATCGTCTTTCAAACGGGCCACCTTTTTGGTATCGTAGAGTATTGTCCACATGGACAACATAGGCTACAAAAGTCTTCAAATAGTCTGACCTTTTTCATACTTACATAACACTCTCCAAAAAGGACAGCTGCATAAAGAACTATTTCTTTGGAATTCTCGTAAACACAAGTTAGAAAATAGATTTGCACTAAATTCATGAAAACCTGCACGACGAAAGTTATCCACAAAAATATTTTAGTCGTCTTGAACTGTAATATGTCAGATGCAAAAAATCGAAGGACTTTTAAACAGTCACCTAAAATAAAAAGCATTAAAATTGATGTTGCACAAAATGTATATACTTCTCATGGCATTCTTAGAAGTGTAGCCACTGCTAGCACTATTCATTGTGGGAATTGAATGCTATATCTAAGTGTTAGTCTTAATGATGCTTGTGTTTCACTACACTGACAATCAGTGACGCACGAAATGGATATTATTTGATAAATATACAAGTAAGCAATAAAATATGTAAAAATTACTAGGATGTTTAATTTAGTTCGATCCCATACATAATATACACAAACTGACCCGTTTAATAAACTTTGCGTGTATAAAAATTCGGTACTTTCATGTTATTACCGTTATCGAGGTTTTAATTTTTTATTCGTGATTTATGGTGTTCTGAGGACATGAATTTGTCTCAAAAAACTCTTCCACGTAAGACACTGATCGTTACAATAGTAGTTGCTAAGGAATAAAAATAAAACTAATCATTTTGTATTTCTGACGAGACAAGTAATTAACGTAATGCTGTATCATTCCAAGTAATGTAGATGGTGAATCAATATTTCGATATCCGACAGATAAACATTTAAAATATCTTAGCAGGAAATGAAATAATTTAAATAGTTTGCAAACTCAAAACACAAAATAATAGATACACTACATGTATGAAAATGTCTACACGAAAAAGCTCTTGGATTAGACTAAAAGACCTGGAAGTGGAAGTCGTGAATGGGTGTTCCGGAGAAGTCTAGAAGAGGTGACCTGACCCGACCTGACCTGACCTGACCTGACCTGACCTGCTTTTGTTCCCTGTAGAAATTCTTCTTCGAACTCTTCGATTTTTTCTTGTATTTCTTGTTTCGTGTTTCTCATTCCTCTACTATATATTGTGCAGATTCTCCATCTTTTTTTAATTACAGTCAGTTTTCTTTCAACCATGCCTTCCATTTCTATCGCCCCCTCTTCTATTTCTTTTATATCTTTCTTCACTCCTGTTATGATTCCACCTTTTGCTCTACCCTTGCGTTTTTCTTTTTTTTTGCCCCTTGCAATTTCCACTGAAATTCCTTTGGCAACACGTCTTTCAGTTTATTCCAGTCTCTCTCTAGTATCCCTGTTTCTGTTAGTCCCACAAAATCAAAATTTTTCACGTAGTCTCAAAATAAATTTATCTTTTTTTTCAAACCCGCAATATTCCAAAAGAGTAATTTTAAAGCACGTTTATCTTCCCCATTCTTCTTTCCCATTCCCTTATTATGTACAAAATCTACATTCTTAAACCTAAAGCCTTTTTTTGTCCTATCATTACTACCCCTCCCCTTTGTGTTTCTTTCTTCGGTTAGTGCTGACTTGATTTGAGAAATTTTTCTTCCAATTTTCCTTTATTTTCATTCCATGTATACATTTGGCCCCTATTTACAGCTTCTTATATCCCACCCTTGTGGTGTATCCTTTTTTTCTTTCCTCTTTAGCTACCTCCCTAATTCCTTTTTGAATTTTTTGCTCTTGTGCTGTCCAATCATTCTCAATATATATTCTCTTTCCTATCAGTTTATTTTTATTCTTCATCACCTCTTGTTTTCCCTCCCAAAGCGTCTTAACCAGTATTCTGCTGTCTCTTCCCTCACTATCAGCTCTTTCTCGCCAGGCCGCAAAAACGTCACCAATCTTATCACTCTCAATCGTTTTCTGATTCGACATAACCTTTCTATTTTTCTTGTCTCACCAGTTGCATTCGCGTTTTTTTTTTTACGAAATATTCTCTTGTGCTGCTTTTACTATCACGCAATCACACTTGTTACCCCTGAAAATCACTGTTTACTATGACTTTAACTTCAGCTGTTGCTAACAATGTGCACTCGCTCGCTGCTCAACCAAGAATCCAACAAAATTTTAATAAAACTCTATGCAGCGGGACACGCAGCGGCAGCGGCACTAGAGCGCTATATGAGTGTGGCAATCGAACAGTATCAATGTAATTCTAGAACACAGCAGAATTTCCCATATATGGCGTTGTAGCACGAGCGGAGTTTGGGGCTCCTGGTTGTGGTTGTTCTCCCACCACGACGATGATTTTATTCTAGCGTTAAGCACTGCCACACAGCACCCCTCTGTTACAAAGAAACGTGCTATTGCAAGACCTGCATGCTTTTGTGCCGCTCGCCAGCTCGACAAGGAATCGCGCACTACGCTTCCGCCACGCGTTTCTGCGTAATTTACATCAATTCCATTTAAATGTTCAATTTCTATAACTCTGATACTAAACTACAACCGAACAAGTGTTAAAGTTTCAAAAGAACAACAAACAACATTTTAATGCGCCATACACTCTCGTGAAATTTTAAATAGAAAAGAATTCTTAGCTGAGATTAAGATTGGATATCAGGCAATTCATATGATACAGTAATCAACAAAATGTTTACATGAGAAAAAACTAGTAAAGAATTATAAAACAAAGAAACAGTCTAGTGTGAAGTTAAAATTTGTGCAGACAAAAAAAAATTACTTCTGAACATGAAAACTTACGTTCAGTTTAAATTATACAACAAAGAAAATTACTGAGGCTGAAATTGTGAGATAGAGAAATATTGCAAAGCTAACAATATTACATGAAGATAAATTATGCTACATTTTATCAACGATTCAAACAAAGAATTTACATGATGTTAAATTATGCCACACTTTATCAACGATTCAAACAATTAGCTTTGAGAGTTTATATCGTACACTGATCCAAGCTTATTCCAAACAGACAGATGATAAATAAACACAAAATGCATCCCGCGTCGCGAGAAAATATGTCTCGGTGGGGTAATTATACATACAAGAGAGTCAGCTAACTTTAGGTCGATCGAAAATGTAATTTAGATGAAAGATGACTAATTTTATTCAGAAATAATTGTTATAGTATAAATCAATTATGTATAGGTCACTGCATTATTAACAACTACTAACGACACTGTTCTGAGAAAATATTAGTCAACTGTTTTTTCTTGTTTTATGTAGTGTCTTATCCTGAGTACGTATTCATTGTGATGAGTTATGTAAATAAATAAAGTAGTAAATGTTGTAACTATTTTACGTACGTCCTAATTATTACAAAATACTGAAAACTATAAAACTAAACAACTAAAAAAGTGAATGTATAATTATAAAAAAAACTCCCATCAGACGTGTCTGTCGCTACCTGCAGGTCATTATCTTGAAAACTTCAGTCGCTCTTGGTTTGTTGACACTTCTTAAATTTGCGAGTGGCAAAAAATAAATGAACAAACACTTTTTTGTTGGAAAAGTTTACCTTAATAATCAGAATACTGCATTCCGAGAAGCCCCATTACACTGCAACCAGTGATTAGAGGCAGGTATTTTTTGGGACTATGAAAGTGTGAAAATGCCAAAGTTTACTCATTTTGAAAATTATTGAAAAATGCGATTAAGTAGGTACTGATTGTGGGTACTGTACCTGGGCAACTTTAACGTTCTAGGTTATATTAATAGTATATTATACAACGATCATTTAATGATTTATTAAGACACTAGTATTACGACCAAAGGAAATAAACGATCTGAAATATCAAAACATTTGAACAGTAGCAAAGAAATGTTATTTTTTTTGGTAAGTATGTAATGAATTATAAAAGACAAATTCAGTTGTAGATAACTATTTCATCTCGTGAATTCGTTCATAAACACTCAACTAAACTGAACATTATTATACCATAATTCTGCGTCAAAGACGCGGTCAAGGTTTTGGCTTGAGGAGATTACTAATAATATTCCACGTAAATGTATGAAATACGGAAACTTGAAATCATCACGTCATATCACAAACGTAACACAGATTTTTGGAAGCTAAACATTGCGTCCATTATTTATTTAAACTACTTTGACAAAGACCTCGTATTCATAACCATCAGTTCTGTCCAGTGAAGGTGATCTCAAGAATAGCACAAAACCAGTTTATCTTAATGAGTGAAAATATTAACGACAAAGTAAAAATGTTCAGTGTATTTGTAGTGTCCCTAGTGTTGTTTAGTCGCCAAACCGGTGCTCTATTTGAAGGTATAAGATTGTAATTTGTTAACCCTGACACGATGAATTTGTTTACTTTGCTTTTAGGAGATCCATGTACAGTTCCAGCAACCGCTGAAACTGGTCAATGTACTCAACTAGACAAATGTGAATATGCTAAACAGCTACTTCGCAGCAACAAAAATCCGCAGAGTTGTGGATTTCAAGGAAAGGCACCGTTGGTGTGTTGTCCTGTTGGACCAAAACCTGGAGACACAAGCCTTAGACGTAAGTTTATGACATGTCAAACAAATTCTGAAGAATTATTATCTGATAAACATAGCTAGGCAACCAACAATTTACCTGCAATGAACCTAAGCAAAAATAAAGTACAATATCAACATTTTCAGAATGTGATCGCTACTTCAACAGAAAATATCAGTACTACGCCATTGATTTGGGCGAGAAAGCCCGCTCTAAAGAGTTTCCTCACATGGTAAGTAACCACAGTAAGTGCCACTCTTTTCTTTATTATTACCACACTGTCGTCAGGCAGCTGTGGGCTATGGCGACGACAAAACCAACATCTTTTGGTTATGTGGCGGAACCCTCATCAGTCAGAAATTCGTTCTTAGTGCCGCTCACTGTGCTGAGTCTCAAGATTTGTAAGTGTCAACCGTGTCAAAAATCAAAACTAACCTTTTACTCTACAGTGGAGCAGCCAAATGGATCCGTCTCGGCGACTTAGACCTACAAAATGCCACCGAAGACGCAAACCCTCAAGATGTGAGAATCGTCCAAACCTATGTCCACCCGGGCTACAGATCTTCGTCACATTACCACGACATTGCTCTATTCAAAATGGCAGAGAAAGTTATCTTTACCATTTATTTCAAAGCTGCTTGTTTACATGTGGGGAAAAGTTTACCGGTGAACACGTTGCAGGCAACTGGTTGGGGCAAAATGGGATTCTTTGGGGACCCAAGCAGTCACTTGATGAAGGTTAACTTAAGTCTTGTCAATCATGATACTTGTTCCAAGAGATATGCCAATGTTGCTAATAGCAGAAAATTAAAAAACGGTATTTTTGATGACTACCAGATGTGTGCTGGTAACGTTGAAGGGGGAGATACGTGTCCGGTAGGTGGTGGTTCATTTTTATGTAGCGGTTATTAGTTTGGGTTTTAGGGAGACTCAGGAGGACCCCTACATTATACAGTACAACCAACCAATGACCATGTTTTTCATTTTACTGTTGCTGGAGTTACGTCTTTTGGTAAAGGATGCGGAGGAGATAACACCGTTGGGGTTTACACGAGAGTGTCTGGTTATGTTGGATGGATTGAAGACATCGTTTGGAAAGAAGACAACTAACGTAAAAATTCATGTCAAAAATTGTTACTGCCATTGAAAATAAAACTATAGAAGGGACTTTTGAGTTTTTCTATTTATACATATAAATAACATTCACTATGGAAAGTTTTGACGTAACTTCAGAATGTCAACATTTACAAGTACTACAATTGAACGACGTCGCTAAGTACTACTATTGGAAATCCCTCAAGTGGTAATATCGTCAATACACCCATTACATCAAACGATAATTTGTTCATTAAACAACAATTTTAAACTCGTTTCGTGCGTTGAAATTCGTTTTTCTTTTTAAGTAGTTCACAATGAATGCAGTTAGTATTTTCGCACTCTTCGTGTTGTGCCATGGCGCCACCGCTTTATTATTTAACGGTAACAACATTTATTATAATTTTTTATTTATGTTATTATTTATTACTGATTTGTAGGTGACAAATGCGTTGTACCTGGTACCAGCGACTTAGGACTTTGTATTCCGATCTACGAATGTAATTATGCTAAAAAATTATTGAGGCAGCATGCCAGTCCAGGAGTTTGTGGCTTTGCAGAAAAGACTGTACCCTTGGTATGTTGTCCTGTTTACCAAAAAACTGCTGTACAGTACTTAACGTTCGATTATTTTGTTTTTAAACCGTGATATGTTTACAAAATGTACGATAATTAATAAAGAGATTAAAATGTCTTTATCTAGCAGTTACAGGTTTCCATTAAGCTCTTCTTTACATAACACGTAAGTAGAATAGCTTTGTCTTTTATAGGGAACTTTTTATTTCCCGAGCTTTTGTACGTACCCTCCAAAAATTTAATGACGTCATGTCAAAATTTTGCTGGATAAATCATATCAAAAATGTGCAAAATATAATGGGGTCCACGTACTTCTATCCCCACCAATAATTTAATGGCTTCATCGCAAACTTTTGCAAGGTAAATTATATGTAAATTTTATTAAATAATATGTTTCTATACTTGCAGTGTATTTTTTATTAGTTTTTGCATTATAAATCTAGTTTTTTCAGAAAAAATGATCAACTGCATTATTACCAGTGCGCGGAATAATATCTTACTGGTACAATCCCTCAGTTGCAGTGAGGTTGGTCTCTATTTAGGTATACTGATTTTAACAGGTTTAGCGCCAAGGTAATTCGAACAGAAAGTCACCCTGGACCAAACCGTTTTTTCAACAATTTCTCAGATATAGTTTTATTTTTTATCAAAAAAAATACTTTTCAATTTTTTTTTGTTTGCCAATTGACAAAAAACAGACAGCGGACACCGGTGTCCGCTGTGGCCCGTTTACAATCTTAGCGGACACCGGTGTTCGCTGTGGAACGTGACTACCGAGCGGACACGAGACGACCCGAAGTGTCCGCCATTGCAATTTTACAGGTTTTGTCTTAAAATCTGCTATTTATTTGGGTGTTATTAGTGGCGTTGTGTTAATTTTTGTAGAAAAAATGAACAGTCGTGGAAAACGAATTGTAAAACTAGCTTTAGAACAAAAACAGCATTCTGGTGGTAAGTGTCCGAAAATTAGATGTTATATGAAATATCACACTGATAATTTTCAATAGACGAAGATTCACTAAGTGAACCGTACTCAGCAGATTCTGACGTAGATCCAGGTTTTGTTTTACCTAATAGTTCAAACTCAGACAATTATTCTACTGATAGTTGTAATGTACTAGCTTAAAAAAAGAGATAGAGAATGACAGTTGACAGAATATATAAGTTAGAAAAATGAGCTCGTGTAATTTGAGAAACTAACAATATTACCTACCCCAAACAAGACATCACATTTTGGCGACGAGTATTAAAAGAACTCAGAAGAAGACCAACGAAGCGAAAAACAACGAACACTCGGAACAGAGAACAGGAGAAAAACATAACCTCAACACAACACGTGGTTCGCAACAAACGAATCGAGGAAAAGATAACAACATGGACAACCACTCAACACCAGTACCTCCATTTCATATAGCAGAAGACCCCAATAACGTTGGCTCAAGGTGGGAAAAGTGGCTTAACCGTTTTGACAACTATCTCATAGCAGCAGGCATCGATAATGAAGACCGAAAGAAAGCCATGCTTCTCCACTACGCAGGCGAAGAAGTTCATGATTTATATTTGTCACTTCCTGAACTACCAGTAAACACAGCACAACCCAATGAATCACCTTATTTAACAGCTAAACGAAAGCTCAAACAATATTTCACCCCTAGAGTCAACAAAGAATTTGAAATGTTTAATTTTAGGCAAGCCAGACAGAGCGAGAATGAAACAATTGATCAGTTTTACGCAAAGTTACTGAAACTATCCAAGACTTGCACGTTTGAAAACCCAAATGAAGAAATCAAACTTCAAATCATCATGAACACGAAGTACACAGAACTACGTCGATATGGACTCACTGAACAACCCAATCTCGATGATCTATTGAGCAGAGCACGTACAATTGAGTGCACAGCTAATCAACTGAAGGTCATTGAAGACAAGATTGTCATGAACACAAGCACAGAAGAATGTAGCTACTTAAACAAACAAAAGCAACACAGAACCGCACCAGCCAACAGTGGTACGAGTAAGAACAATTGCAAAAATTGTGGAGGCAAATGGCATCCAAATGGGAGGAGAGCTTGTCCTGCTCTAAATGTAATTTGTCGAAGTTGTGGCAAGAAAGGACACTACGCCCGAGTCTGCATGTCCACCACATCAACACAACAGCAACAAGCACAATCACGAGCAAACCCCCAGCACAACAACCATGGCACAAATACTAGCATAAACAAGAAACATAATGGAGAGAGGAAGAACAGAGCACAAATTCGCTTTAATGAGCTTAACATGGAGCCAGAGTCAACTAATTCTGAGACATCTTTCAAAACAACAATTCGTCCAAACGACAGAACAGCCATGAAATGCCCTCAGGTGCATGTTAAGTTGAATGGCAAAGTAATCAATTTCATTGTAGATACTGGTTCATCTGTTAATCTAATAAGCTCAAGCACATTTAAAGAATTTCATCAGCAGTCACTACAACCAGATTCCTCATCGATTCTCCCGTACAACTGTCAACAACAGTTAGAAGTAGTTGGAAAATTCAAAGGTTTGTTCCATTATAACAACCACCAAACGCGAGCAGATGTATTTGTGATAAAAGGCAACAGTGAATCATTATTGAGCTACGATACAGCAAACAAATTGCAGCTGATACAACTATCTATGATGATATATCAACCTATGGACATGAACTATATCAAAAACAAGCATCCTAATTTATGTAATGGCATAGGTTGTCTCAAGAACCAAACTGTCAAGCTACATATTGATGAGTCAATTCCTCCAGTAGCAAATAAACACAGGAGAATTCCAATAAATCTTCGTGAAGCAGTTGAACAAGAGATAACAAGACTGATGAAACAAAACATCATTGAAAAAGCAACAGGACCAACTCCCTGGGTTTCACCAATAGTTGTAGTTCCCAAACATCACGATCCTAACTCTATCAGAATTTGTGTAGACATGAGAGAGGCTAACAAAGCCATACTTAGAGAAAGGCATCCAACACCAACTATTGAAGAAATATTTGCCCAGTTAAATGGCGCAACAGTCTTCTCAAAGATTGATTTGAAAGATGGCTACCACCAACTAACATTAGAAGAATCTTCACGGTATATAACAGTTTTCTCAACACATATTGGTTTGTATCAATATAAACGACTGAGTTTTGGGATAAATTCCGCTGCAGAGATTTTTCAAAACACAATAAGACAACTGTTAAACCAAATAGATGGTGTGTTAAACATCAGCGATGATATACTAATCTTTGGAACAACTCAACAAGACCATGATAAGACTCTCAAGCAAGTAATAGAACGTTTGGATAACCATAATTTGACAATCAACACAAAGAAATGCATTTTTAACACAAACAAAATCGATTTCTTTGGATATGTATTCTCTAGCAAAGGCATTTACCCTGATCCAGACAAAGTCAAATCTGTCTCTAACCTAGAACCGCCCAGAAACGTACATGAACTAAGAAGCTTCCTAGGAACGTTAAATTATGTTGGAAAGTTCCTGCCTCACTTAGCAACAAATACTGCAATATTACGTGAGCTGATTACAAAAGATGCTCAATGGGACTGGACTGAAAAGCATCACAGCGCTTTTAATGATCTTAAGAAACAACTAGAATCAGCACGAAACCTCGCCTATTTTGACCAACAGAAAAAGACGCACCTCTATGTAGACGCTGGTCCCATAGGACTTGGAGCGATCCTTTCGCAAGAACTTAACAACAAAACAGAAGTTATTTCGTACGCTAGCAGAACATTAACTTTGACCGAACAGAAATACAGTCAAATAGAGAAAGAAACATTAGCAGCAACATGGGCCATACATCACTTCAGAATATACCTGTTAGGAGGTCACTTTGTGTTACACACAGACCACAAACCCTTGGTCTCAATCCTACAGAACCCTCGATCAGCTCCAAACGCACGCATTGAACGACTTTGTTTAAAACTTCAGCCTTATAAATTTACAGTTCAATACCAAAGAGGCATAACAAATCCGTCTGATTATTTATCTCGTCATCCAACATACAGCCCACCAGAAGCATATGATAAAAGTGAAGAATACGTAGCTTTTGTAACCAATCATTCACTACCAAACACAATTTCACTTGAAGAAATCGAAAATGCAATGAAAGATGATTTTCAGTTGCAGCTACTGAAAAAGGCCTTGTTAGAAGATGATTCCTTGTTTTGGAAGAAACGAGAACTGCAAACATTCAAGCAAATCAAACAAGAGCTCACTGTATATGGTAATATTATTCTCAAAGGCAGTCAAATCGTAATTCCCAGCAAACTGCAGAAAAACATTATCAGATTGGCACATAAAGGTCATCAAGGTCTCGTTAAAACCAAACAACTGGTAAGAACTAAGGTATGGTTTCCCAACATCAACAAAATGGTAGAAGAAGTAGTGAAGTCATGCACAGCATGTCAAGCAGTGACACCCTACAACCAGCGAAATCCGATTCAAACATACCCGACATCCACTCACCCGCTTGAATGTCTAGATGTAGATTACGCCGGACCATTTCCAGATGGAAAATATTATTTCATAATGGTGGATGATTTCTCAAAGTTTCCATTCGTCAAAAAAGTACCATCGACCAATTTCAAACAGCTGAAGCCCGTACTTGACGAGACATTTGCACTATTTGGCCTACCAAAAGAACTTAAATCCGATAATGGACCACCCTTTAATGGATACGAATTGAAAGAATATCTTTCAAGCCTCAACATCAAGCATCATTTAATAACACCACGTTGGCCAGAAGCAAATGGCAGAACTGAGAGATTCGTGAAAACGTTCAAGAAAGCCCTCTTGTGCGCAACGATCAACAGTAACAATCCAGACGCAGAAATTCAAGAATTTTTAATCAATTACCGAAGCACCCCTCATTCAACAACAAACTGCCCACCATATCAAATTATGTTCAACAGAGAAATCAACAACTTCTTACCCACTCTCAAAAACAAGACGTTTCATGAATACAATCCCCAAACGGACATCGACAACAGAAGAAAACAAAACGAACGCGCCAATCGTAAAAGAAGGACATTTGAACATCGCTTACAACTTGGACAAAAAGTTCTTTGCAAACAACAAAAGAAGAATTCGCTGACTCCACTCTTTGATCCAGATCCATACACGATCACTAGAATCACCGGTTCTCAAATTGAAGCTCGACGAGGAGAAAAGGTGATTGTCAGAAATTCATCATTCTTCAAGCCACACCACTCAGCACAGAGTCCAAGGCCAGAGTATCACCCCTCAACAAGTTTGGCACCCAGTCGATCTTCCCAATCTGAACAAACGCGAGCACCGTTCCCCACAACACCTCCAAGGTCGACAGCTCCAGCCACGACACCCCTTAGAAAAGACAACACGGAGGACAAAGTAAACAGTCCCCCAAATCAACGAGTCGAGACGCCCACTGGACGACGTCCCCAGCGAGACAGAAAACCACCGTCGAAGCTTCGGGACTATCTTGTAGAACTCTAATGGCATGTGCGTCATATGAGTTATTGAGTTTAACTTTATTTTGTATTTGGTATGTGTTCTTTAATTTTCAGTAAGGGAGGAAATGTAATGTACTAGCTTAAAAAAAGAGATAGAGAATGACAGTTGACAGAATATATAAGTTAGAAAAATGAGCTCGTGTAATTTGAGAAACTAACAATATTACCTACCCCAAACAAGACATCACAATAGTGATTGCGAAATTCCCGTAAAAAAGACGAAGAATATTTCTTCTTTATCGGTAGGAAATGAAAATATGCCAGGTCCTTCTAACATCTTTCGTGGTAAACGCACCACAAAAGAAATAGAAAGCAAATATCAAGATATAACAAGTGAATCTGAAGAAGATATAGAACGAGAACAGGTGAAAGATAGTTCTGCAGTTTTTATGACTCAAAACACTCGGAACGCAAATGCAGGTTCTACTCATTTTGGAGACGATAATATAGCACATGAAGAATGGATTGAAACAGAAAATGATGCTGATCAAACGCTATATGATTTGACACAATCAGTCTGGGGTCCTCCTGTAGGAAATCATCTTCAATTTGAAGAAAATTTTGAAAGTGGAATAAAACAGGAATGGCAGGCCGCATTGATGGGACACCACCCAATTGACTATTATTTTGCTTTTGTTGATTTTGATATAATTGATGCAATTGTGGATCAAACCAACATTTATGCAACGCAGTTTGTTATGTGTAATAACAATATTTCAAACAAATCTCGTGTGCACAATTGGGAACCAACCACTCGGGCAGAAATCATACATTTGATAGGTCTGCTTTCTTATATGGGAATGGTTCGTATGAACAGCCTTCGCGATTATTGGTCTCAGAAATGGCTTCTAAAATCAGACGTTGCTCGCAACGTCATGAGTCGTAACAGATTTGAAATATTGCTAAAGATGCTACACTTCTCCGATAACGAACAGTGTCCTGAAGGAGATCGTCTATATAAGATTCAACCGCTTATCGATATGCTCACCAAAAATTATCAAACTGTATACACACCTGGTAAGACATTTTGTATCGACGAAACGATGGTACCTTTTCAAGGAAGACTAGTGTTCAAACAATACAATCCACAGAAAACACATAAGTACGGAATAAAAGTTTTCAAACTTTGTTGCAACAACGGGTACACCTGGAACATCAGTATTTATGCAGGAAAAGAGAAAACGACAGATAATCCACTGGCCGTTTCAACACAAATTGTGCTCAAGTTGGCGAAAGATCTCTTAGGTAGCGGTAGACTGTGTATTACAGATAACTGGTACACAAGTCTTCAACTTGCGCACATACTGTTAGATCATAAAACACATTGCTTAGGTACATTGCGGGCGAACCGGAAAGGAAACCCGCCAGAAGTAATAAAAAAGAAACTGAAAAAAGGTGAGGTATTTTCCCAAGAAAACGAAAGAGGAATATGTCTAGTCAAATGGCGAGACAAACGGGATGTCTTGGTTTTGTCCACAGGTCATACAGACCAAATGGTAGAAATTCAACGCCGAGGAAAATCTATTCAAAAGCCCACAGCTATCGTGCATTATAATTCAGGCAAAAGTTCGATTGATCTTTCTGATCAAATGGCAAGCTACAGTTCAGCTTTACGGAAGTCCATCCGCTGGTACAAAAAACTGGCAATTGAAGTACTGTTGGGTAAGAAATCATTTAATTTTTTTGTAAATGTTGTGACTTTTATGTATGTTTGATTAGGTACTTCAATGGTAAATGCTCACATCATTTACAAGGATATTGAACAAAGCAACATTCCAATAAACGATTTTCGCTTATTGGTAACTGAAGACTTGTTGAAATTCGAAGATAAACGCGATGTTGCGCAAACTCGTCAGCCAAGACATCAAATTCTTAAAACACATCAATTTACCAGACTAGACTGTAAAGCTCGAGAAAATCGTCGATCCTGCAAAGGATGCTACCAAAAAAAGGTGGATGGCATTATCGAAAAGAATAAAGTGAAGAAAGTTACTACCTATTGTCAACAATGCGATGGAAATCCAAGATATTGCCTCGAGTGCTTTAACTTATACCACAATAAATAATTTGTACTAATCATACATTGTATAAATACAAAAATATTCAATATACTATTCAATAAATTTCTTTAAACATAAAAAAATTATGACATTATTATTTTCTAAATAAATTTTGCTATAAAAAACCTGGAACCAGGATGCAGTTTCGCAGGGCCACAGCGGTCACACCACTACGTTAAATAGCTCAAAAGTGCTTCCGCTTGGCCAGGAATGATCAACAAAGTTTAGAAACCAGAGCGGACACCGGTGTCCGCCATGGCCATAGTGGAAAACCATATAGCGGACACCGGTGTCCGCCATGGCCCTAAACCTGTTAAGAAAGCGTTTGTTCAAGTGCTAATTTTGAAACTACATAAACTTGGTTTTAGACAGTCCATAAGTGATTGATTGACTTCATTTCTGACAACAAGTTAAACTTGGCAACTCACAAGAAAAAAGAAAGTGAAACGAAAAAGTTAAAGTTAAAACCTGAAAATTCTGAACAAAACGAACATAGGCAACCAGTTATACTTAATTTGACTACCTAAAGGGGACTCGCTAGACGGGGTATAATATTTTTTTGTTTTTTTGTATGAAAAAATGATACTAATATAGATGTATCATACATCAAACTGCAGCTTTTTTCATAATCTAGAGCGCAGAGACCAGTTCAATCAATTAAAAACATATGGGTGAGAAATATCGTAAAAAAAGCACCATTGTATGTTTTCTTTTCAATTTTTTTGAGTCATAACCATCATAGAATCGCTTGAAAATTCGCACATGGATAAAACATCACTTTTTACAGGCCGCAGAGTCAGTAAATGTTTGTTAGTGGTACAATTTGTTTAAATAATAATGTGTTTATTAAAATCAAAATATACCACGAATTAAAGCAAAATACGTCGAATAATTTTAACACGAATATCAGAGGAAAATTAATGATCTATTGCTTAGCAGAGTTTTTAACAAAAACTAACAATTATTGAAAAAAATGGGTATCAATTCGACAGAATTTGAGCCGTTAGTTCAGTACTTTGCCGATAGGAGTGCCACTAAAATTTACGGAAACCACTTTCCAGGTGAAACCCTTATCGCCTGCTCTACCATCAGTTGATTGTTAGCGTTCTCGGCTGATTTTTCTAATTTATGGCAAAAAACTCAGTTTTATAACAAGCTGCCAGGACCGGCCGTAGTAATCTATTGTTAAAGAAATTAAATTTTACGCAATGAGGTACTATCATAAAACCGAATTAAAACTGGGGAACTATAATATTTTTACTCCACTCAGGATCCTGAATTCAATACACATGATTACTAAAAATTCATTGTAATATTATTGTTAATATATATTTTGCTTTGTTAATTAATAAACTAATAAACATATTTATAATAATAATAAAATATGTATAAAATAGAGCTTTTGTTTAACACGTATAAGTAGCTAAGTGTATCTACTACTTATCCCAGAAAGGAGGTGTTTTAAAAAAGCCCTACGCCCAGTAACTTCTCCCTTCATTGTTTACTCGAAAAAAGTGCTCGTATATGTTTTCATTTGCCGAGAGATCATTTTCAATAGTAATTTACACAACTAGTTCGGGATTGCCTGCTTCCCGCATGAATGCTTGTTTGCGGCACGACCGAAGGGAGTGCCGCATTTGCGTGAATGCGGGAAGCAGGCTCACGAACGTGTTGTGTACAATATTTTTTGCAACGAATAAACCTTTAAACTGAAGAAATTAACTGTGAGTTATTTATAAACAATGGCGCCGTCAACACATCACAATGTTGACACTACGCGAGTATTTTAAGGTTACCATGGCAACGGGAAGTTAAAATGCACGTGTGCGGGAAGTTCGAACTCCCGCACTCTGGTGAATGCACGAAAGCCATCAAAAAAGATCATGAGTGCAAAAAATATATTTATAATCAAAATATGCAAGTCTTGGTGATGAAAAATGTGCTCCGAATAAATTATTAAATTACATAAAAAAATAGAAACAAATTTTATGTATTTAAAAAAAATCTCTCGCAAAGGCAGGTTCCTCTTTCTTCTTGAATCAATTATTTCGGACAATAATGCGCCAAAGTAAAATCTGCCAAGTTTATCTGCCATCTTTTTACATATATTTCTTCGTCTTTATAATTTTTTTCTATATTTATTCCTTTGAGTGACCATACAACAAAATAAACTTGTGAAATACCCGTAACAAGCATTTGTCCCTGGACTTGAAAGTAGTAACCATGATTTTTTTTTTAGTTTCAATTCTCTGTCAATGTACAAAATTTGATTATTTTTTTTTCTAACCGCTTCTTCGGGAGAAAAATCTTGCGATTTTGAAGAGCATTTAATTTCGACTAATGCACTCCTATCCTCTAGAACCCTGTCTGGACTAGCAGCCAAGTAAGGAAATTGTTTTGAAATAAACAAGCCACAGCGTTCAGTTTTTATATTTTTATTTATTTCAAAACACTTGACAGCTTTTTCCTCACTTTGCTGTCCATAGTATGTATGACTATTACTTCTAAATGTACTGTACAACAGAGACTCCACAGTTTTAGCTATTGCTGTAGTCGGTCTAAGTTTGTAAATATGTCCAAAATTTGAAGCCGTAACCCTAATTTCTCTCTCTTTTGCCCAAATGTGCCTGTTGCCTAGTATCTATTTCCATTTGGTCTAAATTCAAAGATAATTTTCTCAAAAAAACCTCTTTGGCTGTCACAAATGTTTCTACATCCATGAGAGAATTTTCTAAAAAATATTTAAACCATAATCGCAGTCGGGACCAGCATACGTACATTTTTTTACGACATATTTTTTTTACGAATACTTTCTCTAAAACGAACTTGTTTCATAGACGAACAATATTATTTTGTTATTAAACCAGGACCGTTTTAATCACAAGATATTTACTTATCCCCTCTAAAAAATTGATAACGTCAC